CCTGCTTCTCCCTCTGACCCTCCCCCCTCTCATGTACTCTCTCTCATTCTCGATCTCTCAAATAAATAAATAAATCTTTAAAAAAAAAAAAAAAAAAGAAATGACAATGGTTATTTATTCACGTATATATTCTTCCTTTTTTTTTTTTTTTTTTTGTAGATGACCGTCGTGATGTGAGTAGGTATGGAGAAGATAATAGAGGATATGGCGGGTCACAGGGAGGAGGTAGAGGGCGTGGGGGATATGACAAGGATGGAAGAGGTCCTATGACAGGATCAAGGTAAGTATTTAGGTATAGGTGTCTACATTTCTTCTCTATCTCTTTTTTTAATTTTAAAAAAATTTTTGTTGTTTTACTCAGCTGGTTTGATTCCAGCATCTGATTTAGGTAAGAGGCTTAAATAGATTATGTTGTAGGGAAGAAGGCAGAAATTCAAAATTTATTTTCAGTCTTGAGATGTCAGTAAATTACCTCAGAATAGGCTATGTTAGGAGTTAGTTTATGTGGTGTATATTAAACACCAGTGGAGAAAATTCCCCTATTATGGTTGTGATTAAACCACTTAACTATGTTTTTCCTGCCAGAGCTATAGAGTCTAAACTCCTTTAAAAGATGACTCTGAGAAATCCAAGTATATTATATGTAAAACATAAAAGGTAAGTTAATTTTAGATTGGAGTGCAGAGAGGCTATTCCTTAATCTTGAATCCCCTTGGGAAGGGAAAATATTAGGAGGCAATAGCAGAGTATATAAAGGTGGGGTTGGCAAATGAGAAAGATTTTATGTAATTTAACTATTGGGTCTTCCTTCTTAAGTAAATAATTATTGAAATAATTAGTGCAACATCTCCTATCATTGCATATTTTGTTCAGACTAAGCTGTGGAAAAGATGACTTTTTAATTCAACCTTTCTTTTCCCCATTGCTAGTATTATCAGGTTTTGGTACTTAATTTTGGCATATGTTAAGAAAGCTGGTTCTAAAATTACTTTTAAATATATCTGTAAATATAGCACTTTGGCCCTAAAAACAAGAATGAAAAAATAACTGACATTTGTTGTCCTCAGTTGAGGTTTGCAGGTTGCAAATTTATGTGTAAAATACACAGGCTTAAAAGATAATTTGTGTTCCCTGGGAATTGAAATTGTTAGTGGCCTGTTAACTTAATAACATACCAGTACCAGTTTACTCTTCTGCTCCTTAGGGGCTCTCTGTTCCCTGAGGTGACTTGAGAAACAAAACTAGTTACATACAGCACTGTTACTTCTTCAACTGAGCCAGGAATTTGATCACCGACTTGTATTTCTCTGTGTTTAGTGTACAGTACTTCGATATTAGGGCAAAACTAAAGCCTAACCATATTTGATGAACTTTTATAAGACTGCACATTAAGTCTTTTCGATTGATAGCAAAGTCAGTTTACAATATATAAATATATTATTGTATGCTCTTCATTATCAAAGTGAGCAACCTGCCATCATGTGGATATAAATGAACAATGTAAAGTGACATGGTGCTTACTTTCTACCTAAAAGCCTCCTTCCCATCTCAAACAGAATCCCAAACAAGATAGCCAACAGGTATATTTAATTTTCCAGTTAATACGTTTTAGATAATTGGCTTCTTTGGAATACTGTATGTTTTATAATATATCGTAGGTTTCATTTTCTTCATAAGGAAGTTATATCCTATACATTACTTATTAAACTGTGACAATGTGTGAGAATGATAGAATCCCACTTTTTAGGAGGAGGAGGGTAGGGAAATCTTTAAAAATGTGTTTTCATCTTTGAGAGATGACTCATCTTAGAGATTTGAAGGACCTTGAGTGAATCTCCTAATAAAACAGGGGAGCTCCATACCTTAACCATCTTAAGAGTCCCATTTTTAATAACTTTTATAACCTCCTTGGCATCATATTTCAATATGATTTTTGGTCCAGATACTTGATCTGGACCAAAGCTTTTGATTTTCAAATGGTTTTATTTAGCCTTAGAACCTCTTCACACACTATGTTTTGCAGAAACCCACTATATATTAGGTCAAAATGATACTGATCTGGTTCAAGGTAGGATTGGGGGAGGGGGCTCTTGCCCAATTGCTATCTATACCCTGCTCTGCCCCCTCCCCCAGCCAATAAATGGGATATGCACAAAAGGCCTTTTTTAGGAATCCATGTGGATGATGATGATTATATTGGTTTGGTAAATTTTTTATGTGAAAGGCCATGTAGTAAATATTTTAGGCTTTTTGGGCCATATAGTTTCTTTTATAACTGCTCACCTCTGCCCTTGTAGCACCAAAGCAGCCATAGACAATATATAAATAAATATGGTTGTGTTCCAGTAAAACTTCATTTATGGGTATGGAAATTTGAAGTTCATACAATTTTCACATGTCACAATATCTTACTCAAGATGTGTTTTTTAGCTTATTTATAGGGGTAAAGTATTTTGAATTAGAGTTTTAATGCCCAGTTTCAGGATATTTTTTTCACACTTGGTTTTACATTTAAGTACCAGAAATATCCAAACATTTTTTGTTAGTCTTCATCAACACTCCCATTTGTGTTTCTAATCATCTTACTTAAAAAATTATATCAAGGTTGAAAATACGATCTTTTCAGGGCTGTTTGAAGAATATCTGGCATTGGTTAGGTTTTTATTTAAAAAAGAAGGGGCATAGTTTGTGGGTGAGGGTGGGATAAGTGGTAAAGGATGGGACATTCTTAAACTCAAGTCGTATGATTGCTTGGCTGGAGGAAGAATACAGACCAAAAGGAAACTGCCAGCTTTCCAAATATGGAAGAAAAACCTGTGAAAATTATAGGGACTTTAGGAACCAATGTTTTTCTTTGAAAAAGCAGTTATACCAAAAAAGGTTGAATCTCTAATTGTCATCTAAAATTGATCACTGACCTCTTAGTGGACTGGAAGCTTAAGGCCGTAAGTTCTCTCAATGTTTTTAACTTCAGCATTGTGATGAATGCATTGCAAAATTGCCAGAACTTTATAGATAACCATTTTTCATGAATAAGTCGTCAAGTTATGTAGCTTTTTCCAGGCTTTAATATCTCAAGCCTAAAAAAGTCATCTTGAATTTTGACTGTCTTCTTAGAAGAGTTTTTGAGTAGCTCCATTTGAATTGTACATATGTTCTGGTGATAGTCTAGAATAGCACTGCCCAATAGAAATGTAATATGGGTCACAAATGTGAGCCACATATGTAATTTTAAATTTTGTAGTAGGCACGTTAAAAAAACGTAGACAGGTAAAATTAATAATATATTTTATTTAATCTAATATACCCCAAATATTTTATCATATAATCAGTATAAAATTACTGAATATTGTATATTGAGTTTTTCATACTAAGACTTTGAAATCCATTTTGCATTTTATATTTCAAGTACATCTTAATTTAGACTGTCCACATGTCAAATGGTCAACAGCCACGTGTGGCTAGTGAATACTGTATTGGACATGTAGCTCTAGAATGACAGATTCTTGGCTTCTTGAAATGTGGGTAAATGTTGAATCCAGAGAGCCTTTTTACCACACATAAAAGACACGGGAGGAAATAAGACATAAGTACAGTTACTGTTGAGAATGATATTTAAATCCATTGAGTCATTTACATTTGGAATTCATGTTAGTCTTCTTCACACCCAAAAAAATTGTATTTTGGATTTACTATGAAAATTCAAGCATAGCAGTTTGTTTGTTTTTTAACTAATCTTTTCTAATTTTTAGCTAGTCCCTTTTTCTGTCTAGATAATGGATTTTCTGGAAACAAAGATTCCTGTATTGTCCTTTTACTTTTTGTCAGTTTAAGTCCTTGAATAGATACATTTAGATTTTCTTAAAATGAAAGATTTGGAGTAGAGATTCTGTCAAAGAACTTTTTCTTGACAAGCACCTGAAATTAAATGACCATCAAGTTAAATGACTGTCTTCTCCTCTACATATGTAATACTGTAACAATGAAAGAACCCTCAGTCTACCTTAGGGTAGGCTGTTCATTGTGGTTTTGAACTTGGGACAACAATTTCCATAGTTGAGTCAAGAATTTATAGTTGGTTTTCTTATGCAGGGGACACTCAGCCATACATTTGAGGATGTTTAATCTCTACTCTAAATACCTCTACTACTTTACCTTCAGATGTCCTTACTTCAGGAATTCTTTATGTGTACACATTTGCTGCTTTTTCTGGGAGGAAGACAAATTGTTGTGGCAACATCTTGACCCAGATGTTCCTGTATCTTTATTGTCTTAATTGACTAGTGAAGCCTCAACTTGGTTTATGGAAAAGGGACTTGTAACCTGACTGTAGGTTTGAAAGATTCTTAACCACAGGCCCATCTTTTGTTAAATACTTAATAGTGAGTACTACTTGAGGTTTATTTAGTGTATTTAATATAATAAATTTACTTATAAGGGTTTGTAATATAACTAGTTCATATGGAATTTCTTAATAAGTGAAGAGAAAAATAATTGACACATTTGAACTTGAAAGAAAACTTCACGTAGGATTGTAGATCATCTAGACTGGTGCTTCCCAAACTTTACATATGAATTCCTTGGGGATCTTATTAAAATGCAGATTCTGATTCAGTAGGTATGGGGTGAGGCCTGCCATCCTGCTTTTCTGAGTTGCTCTCAGGCTCTGCCTGTGCTGCTATTCCCTGGACCACTCTTTGAGTAGCAGGAATGTAAACCCTTATTTTGTGAAGGAGGAAACTGAAGCCTAGGGAGAATTACTGACTTGTCCAAATTTTCAAGATTGATTAGTGATAGTAAAGAGTATACCCTGAGTCTCTGAGTTTGAAGACTAGTACTTTTTCAAATGCACTGTGATGTTTTCATATTTATGGCCATTGTGTTGAAATCTTCAGCTGCCGTATTTTTAAAGGAAATGCTCAATGAAGGTGATTTAAGTTAAAATGTCATATGGAGAAATAGGAAATAATAAACGTATTCAAATGTCATTTGTTTTATAGCACTTTTATTTTGCAGTGGTATATCCTTTTTTTATTGTTCAAAGTTATATTGCCAGCCAGAATAGAAAATACAAGAATTAGCTGTTGTATGTAATTGCATATTTTCTCTCCACTGTGGCCAGATAAACAGTTTGGTACTTGGTTTAAGATGACACAGACACTACATCAAAAACTAATGATGTAATGTATGGTGATTAACATAACAATAAAAATTTTTTTAAAAATGACAGCAAAATAAGTAAGAGGTATCTTTTAGAGCACTTACTTGTAAAAATTTCCTATTTAAAGAATCTACTTTATCCTGGGGACTTTAACCTCCTGACAGGAATGCGGGCTTAATATTTTCACTGGTTCTTTCCTCTTTTTTTTTTTTGAGTTCTCATGATCATCTTTGAAGAAACCGGAGATATCTTGGTTTCTAGTAATAAGATTTTTAGCAGATGAATCTCAAGAACTCTGTTGGCTTTCCTTTCTTAAAAGAGTTAAGCAGTGATACACAGGTCAGTTAGAAGTGTAGGAAGGGCTTGGGTACTGTTCTGAAAAGAGGGGTCTTAGAGACTGAATAGGAGACTATATGTATATAAAGTGGACCTGAGCTTTAATATTGTCGACATAGCCTTGAAATAGCCTTATTCTCCTTATAGTCTTCCTGGAAATTAAATAAAATTAATAACGAATTAAGATGCACGTGTCTATACCTAAGCTGGTTGCAAGGGGAGATTTTACATCAGGGTAGTAGAATAGACTTATAAAAGAAGACAGCTTTCTCATTTAGTTAGAGCGGTTTTTCTCAGGATGGCTCAGAAAAGCCATCTATCTAGAGGCTAGAGGGGGCAGTGTTATCATTACAGGAGAAGCTTTTAAGCATTGAAGAGAGCTTAGTGTATTGGATTAGTTTCTTGGATTATAGTAGAAGATGATTAATAGTAGTAGAATATTAGATGTCACCATCTGAAAACTGGGTGTTTTTATTTCCATGACAGCATGTGAATCTTGGAGGATTACTTAGTTCAGGCAAGAGAAACAAGCTTTTAATGTATGAATAAACAGTTTCTTGATGAGAGAGATCTTAGATTTCTTACATAGATTTATGCACACAAAGACCATTGACTTATCTGTCAGTGGAAATTTGCCTAGTCATTTTCTTGTGGGCAGCTGCGATATTGGAGTATGTTGCATTCTGTCTCTGATAACGGTCTACTGATTGGTGTACAGAGCATTTGGCAGCATGAATCTCAGTAGCTCTGATATGAAGAGATCTCGTATATTAAAGTGGGTATAGAGTAAGAGAGCAGTTTTAAGTTATGCTTTCTTTTAGTGTTCATTTTTTCAGATTGCTGAATGATTTGAGATTTTTTAAGACTACTTTCATTCAGGCTCACTTTTGTGTATATTTGTACCTCGGTTTTTTTCTTCATCTCATAAAACCCACAATTTGATATCAAAATAGAACATACTACTGAAGTTTTTATCTCCCATTCTGCTATCAGAATCTTAACCTAGCTTTATATTGTTCTTCTAGTCTTTTTCCTCATATTTAAAAAAATACCCCCTTGGAAAGAATGTTTGCTCCAGTTTAGCATTCTTCATTCTGTGCCTCCAGCTTTTAAGTTATGATATGAGTAGTATCCCTTTGGCTTGGGGTTGGGAAGATTTTAAAATAAGAGTATATGAGATACGTTCTGTAATAAGCTTGAAAAGGCAACCTTGTGGAAATAGATCCTTGGGAAAACACTTAGGTGAAAACAACATTTTGGAGTCTATGAAATGGAATTTACTGGAAAGTTAGAGGTGCTACTGTTTCCCTAGGCGCTCTACTTGTGACAGTTAAGTGTAGATTGAGCCCAGGGCTCAGCACATTAGAGACTTAAGGAAGAAATCATTTCTTCAATTTTTCCTCTGCAGTGGTGGTGACCGCGGTGGCTTCAAAAATTTTGGTGGTAAGTGCTGAGTATCCCAAAATGTTTCAGTGGAAATGCTATATAAATCTAAAAGCCACCAATATCCCGCAGACGCAGTCTAAGCCCTTTCTTACCCTGTTGAGGCTGGTGTGTGTTGTGTGCTTTAAAAAAAATTATATATATATACATATATATATCAAAGAAAACATTTTAAAAAGTCAAAGTTGATCTCAAACAGTCCAATGGGTTTCTGCACAGTGAATTTGCATGAAAGAGTCTGTGGTGACCGATGAATGAGACTTTCACTGGATTTTGACAATACATTTTTTTAATAAAGGTAGCTGACATGGTGTTGTTAAATTATTAGGGTTTTCCAATCAGCCTTCACAACCAGAGCTTAACAAAAGTGATACTAGCATAATGCCAAAGTGGCGGGTACCGTCTGGGACAAATTTAAGGAAATAATTGACTTTCATCTTGATTTCTTAAACTTAATAAAACTTAATTTATATATTTACTTTGTAAATCTGTGATGGTTGACTTTCAAGGATTTTGGAAGTATTGACTTTCATGCCTTGGTTTTTATTACTATTTTTTTCATGATTTCTAATGAGTTGCCTTAAATAGCTTTTTTTCTTTTTCTTTTTCTTTTCTTTTCCCTTAGGTCACAGGGATTATGGACCCAGACCAGATGCTGGTAAGGTTTATGGTAGTTTGTGACTTTGCCATTAAGAGAATATTAGTTTTCCAACTTTTCAAGGGAAAAGTGTGTCTGTTTGGAGGAGTTAGGGCAGGAGGAAGATTTAATTGGTAGTGTTTCTGGAATTAGGGAGCTTCACTTCTAAAAACATACCAGAAAGAAAAATTCAGGGAAATTGGAAAGTTTGCTGGGGAAAATTGCTATGTTTGTGGTTTCCTATGCTCTGCTTTTTCTTTTGTGAAAAAATACTTGATCTTGTATTGCTAATTAACATTACTTATTTAAATAACTACAGATCAGATTTGAGAGAGTTGGTATCATTGGGAATTTGAAGTAGAAAAACTATGTTTAAGAAAATTTTACATCGGATTGGTAGTCCCCTTAGTGGGCCTAAGAAACCTGAATTCATACATGGGGAGAATTGTCTTACTCTGGGCAGAGGTCACTAATTTCATGTGGCTTTTATTTTTAAATGAAATTCAAGGCTACCTGGAGCCTTTTGGAAGTTATAATTTAGATATTAAAAATCTAGTTGAGCCAAAAAATTTTAATATATATTGAAATCAGAACTTTTGTTTTTATTAAGATGCCAAAGTATTCTATATGGATGGCAATTTCTGAATTATCCCTTGATGGACTGAATTTTTGTACATCTTTCTTACTTTGTTGTACTAATCCAAAAGTGTGCGTGTAAGGTAAGGTGTGTGTCAAGGTGCCCCTACCCTCTGGTATATACAAAGCTTATTGCAATGATCGGGAAACCAGCAGTTGTGCTTGGCTTGCTTGAAAGTCCAAAGTGTCAGGTTTGGGGAATTTTCTACTGAGAGCCTTAAAAGTACTGATTAGCCATAAAAGCGATAAAGCTCTCCAAAGAAAGGAATGCTAATTAATACTAACTGTCTTCATCTCTTCATGAGCTTCAGCCCTGTATCTGAATCTAAAGAGTAAGATATCTAAGATCTCCCTTAATTGGTCTGTATTTCACAGAGTGTGGACTTGATCCACTTTAACTGAAGTTTAGTTGTAAGGATTGATCTACTCCCAAATAACTATGGTGACCACTTTGCATGTTGATACAAGATTTTTTGTATATTGGTCCTTTTTCCTTTTGGTCATAGAAACAGTTGAATATTGGACAATAAATTATTGCTCTTGATTACTGAACAGGATGTAAAACCAAGGAATATGTAAAATTAACCATAATTTTTTTTCCCCTTAGATTCAGAATCTGATAATTCAGATAACAACACAATCTTTGTGCAAGGACTTGGGGAGGGTGTGTCTACAGATCAAGTGGGGGAGTTCTTTAAACAAATAGGAATTATCAAGGTGAGTAGAAAGTATGGCTTATGTTGAAAATCTCCTAATTATTAACATACTATAGTTAAGATACATAGATTACATAAGATTATATCTCTTTTTTTTTTTTTTTTAAAGATTTTATTTATTTATTTGACAGAGAGAGAGACAGCGAGAGAGGGAACACATGCAGGGTGGGTGGGAGAGGGAGAAGCAG